TGTATGTTCAACAAAACATCATGCATCAAAAGCCGCCTGCCAGTGGTGGAAGAAGTACTTAAGTAAAAGTACCATTACAACGACTTACTCCATTAAAAGTCCTGCATTCCAAATCCTACTTAAGTAAAAGAAATGTCCTTTAAGTATCAAAGTAAAAGTGTATGTACATCTTATTATATATGACATTAGATACTTAGATACATGCTTAAGTAGCTTATTACTGTTATAGGTTCAGCTAGTCTAGGCAGAGCTACAGTACTTATAGCTACTCTACTGTATACGTGTACAGAGTTGGGTAGTTTAGTTCAGTGGGTCCCAGCCTACGGCTCTGGCATCAACAAAGTCGTAAGATAAATCTGAGGAGTCTTAAGATGATTAATGTGGAAGGAAATACAAAAAAGAAACAACGTTCTGCATGTCCTACATCTGTTACATCTCAAGAAACAATCCACAGGCAGTCCACGGTAGAGAGGTACTCAGCAACAATACTGTATGACAAAACATTCACATTCAAATTCTTTCCTCTATGCCTTGATAAGTGTAGATATAGATAATGTATTAAAGTGGCTAAATTCAACCATTTTCAACTGGTTTTCAAAGGGTAATTACAAATAATTACAATAATTATCTATATCGACTAGGATAACTTTACATCATTGGACCTGCACACTGACAGTGCTTTTTTATGAGGCACCACAAAAATGCACATGCTATCACAGAGTATTGTATTGTATAAGCTTATCATCTGTCTTTCTAATATAAAATCTTACTTTTAAAAGTTACTTGTAACTATAGCTGTCAGATAAATGTAAGGGAGTACAAAGAACAATATTCTGATTACCTTAAAAGTGTACCTAAGTACAGAACTTGATGTGAATGTACATAGTTACTTTCCCACACCTTAAAACAAACAAACACAATCAAGTTGTGTTTACTCACACAAAACTAAAAAAAATTAATCTTTTTTTTTAAGTGGGCCTGTCACAATAATTGCGTTATCGACTTATCGGGCATGACCTCAGTCATTTTTGCTGACCTTGACATTGCCTGTTGAGTTTTCATGCCTGTTTGTCACCAACATTTTAGGCAACATGGCGCCAGAATAAACAGCAAGGTTTTTCCCACCATTATTACACTGCCTATTAAGGGTCTCCACAGCCCTGTGACAAATGTCTAATATCTACATTTACATTTAAGTGCAATTATTGTTAATAGAGAACAAGAGTCCATGTTATTTACTGTTTTGGTTGTGTGGTTTTTATTTTATCAACAGTTTGTTTATTTAGGATATTTTCATATTTTTTCAATTACAATGACGTAATATTCTTAAGAACTAAAAGTCCATTGAGCTTTGAAAGGGTGTAGTTGCATTATTATGCTTATCATTAAAATGCATAAAATGCATAAAATGCTCAACTGAACTGAACTGAAAACCTCGACTCCACCAAGCAAAGAAAAAACTACGGTGGCCATGAAACTAGAATGTAAGAGGCCCTATTTAGAGCCATTGTTTGCTTTGTCCATTCTGGGCTCATGTAGATACATGGCAGTTCAACATAACCCACTCCCTCTGTAGATTAAAACAGACAATATATCCTCTTGTGACAGGCCTATTTCTAGGAATGGCCTAATGTTTGCTTTCTGTTTGCTTTCTTCACCTGTCACACACATTTTCTTTGAACCACCAGCCTTGTTGTCTGTCTGACACACTGAAACAACACCATGCTGATCTGAGTGGTTGATTGCAACGCTGCTAACACAGAAAGCAAACTCCAATTTCCAACGATCCATTTCCAGGGAACATCAGTGACATGATGCAACTGCCAGGTTGTGTTGGCCAACCATCATCACTCCTGCTATCCCTACGAGGCTGTCATCTTGCAGTGCTAATGGGATGTAAACCACTGCAAGATTTATTAAATGAATGCTGTGGCCTGTTTTTCCACCTTTCTGCCTATTTTCTCTTCTGCTGTGTTTCCATTAAAAAGCACTTTGCTGTGCACTGCCAGGAATTAGTCTGTACCATGCATGAACTGAAGTCCCAAAAGCTAAGTGCTGATACGCAAGTGTTTTTGACTTCCTGAAGTGCTTCTTTGTTAAATGTCAAGGGCCAAGGCTCAAATCGGCTACTGACCACAAAAACATTATTACACAATGACATGTTAGACTGTGCTGTAAAGTGTGTGTGTGTGTGTGTGTGTGTGTGTGTGTGTGTGTGTGTGTGTGTGTGTGTGTGTGTGTGGGGCTGAACGGGCAGAAGCAGAAAAGTGGCTATTTTCAGACCAACATATTTCAATTCTAAGTTACGATGCCTCAAGGAGCCAATAAAGAGCTAGAATGAACTTTGGGAAAGCCTTCCTTCAGAGCCTCACTTCACTGGACAATGTAACTGAAAAATATCCTCTCAAACACATACACATGAACACACAAGCTTAACAGGCAATGTGTATTCACTCTGTTTAAGAGAAAGTGACAGCTACAGACCTTGTAGGGAGAAGGAAGAGAGAAGTGGTAGCGCCATAAAAAAAACACACATCTAATGAACATCTAAAGTGGTGACAGTGTAGACAAAAAGCAGATTATGTTGTTAACTGGAGAAACCAGGAGGTGACTCACTATGATCACACTCAACTTCCCTACAAATCACATGCAGAGACAATCGAGTAAAAGCTCAACAGAGGCAAAAACATATGTTGTTGAAACTGAACTGTGGAATATGAGAGTTTGTTCTTCTGAACGGTGTGAAGCAGTACTTAAAGCGCACATGCGGGCGTGTTTAAGAAGGCTGTCAGCCACACATGAAGCTTTATCAGCCAAGAATGTCAGAGGCAAACAAATTTCCACCCTCAGCGTCTATTGAATTAAAGGCCAATCCTTTAACACTAGTGTGTGTGCTGAAGGAGGGACGCACACTGCTAAAAGGTCAGGACTTACAGTTCCAAAACCAAGAATGACTTGTTGATTTGGCATTTAACGTGCAACTTTTTTTTCATTATTATTATTAATCTGTGGGAGTTGTCCACTGAATGGCATGTTTCCAAAAAAAGATACAATGATTATTGCGATATGAGATATACGCTTGTGCTGCATGTGTCATGTTAAATCACGAAGCTGTTGTTTTATCATCAGTTTGTACCACAAGGGCCTAAGACTTAGTAGCACGCAAAATTACGTAATAAAAGCCCAACTCAAACAGCTTGCCACATAAAAAAACATTATCTAGGTTTCAGCAGCTTCTTCATGTTGGTTTAAGTTCATACAGCGGATCATTATGGTGATGTGAAAGGCTCTGATAACCCATTAAACATGAGGAGGGGTAATGTGATTTCAATGGGGACAATCACATTTCCTGAAGATTATCCTGCGCTCTCTGGCAGGGATCTAAAGGTTGTTCAATCTTTCTTTCTTTTTCGTTTTTCATTATGATCTTTCACAAAAAGAGAAAAGTACTGTGACTCTGATCACCAGTACATCCGACAACTGAAATTTCCCACATCTCAAACCAACACTGATAAACCCAGAACAGATACAAAAATGTAGAAGTGACTAATTTCCCACAAGAGGTTATTGTTGCAGAAATCACTTACAAGATGTGTTTATGGGACAAACAAACTTTAAACAAATGCTAGCACTGTAATTGCCTCCTCTCTGCAGTCAAACAGATCCCAGAGGTCTTCTGTGAGGAAGTAGTTTGCTGACTGCTGTTTATGTGCTGCTGTGCTTCACCGTTTCTTGTTTTTCAAAACATCAGCTCTTTGCTGCCACTGCGCAATTACAGGGATGTAGATTTGAAAAGATAAAAAAATTTGAATCGTTTTTGTCCCAGCATGCTTTTGCTGTAGCTGATTTAGTCATGCATTGTATAGCAGTAGGGCATTATACAGAGTGTTTTGTGTTGTGTTTACACCCTGTAAAACATGGGAAATGCTATAAACTACTGTGCAATTATTTGCAGGTTAACCCCTGGAAAACCTGCCAGTGACCCATGATAACTCAGACTAAGCAACCACTTAAAGAGCCTTCCTAAAGTCTTCACTACATCAGTATCTCTCTGCAGCTCACTCACCTCTCCAGTGTCCACCAGGTGCTCCAGAGTGACAATGCCTTTGCTCTTGCTCTCGTTGTCACTGAGTAAGTCATCCTCGGACTCCACAACAGAGGACCCCGTGGAGGAGATGGAGGAGTTGGACAGTTTCCTGCGCAGGGGACCGTCCACCACATCATCCCAGTCCTCTTGCTGCATCTCCCGGGAGGAGCCGCCTCCCTCCGGGGTGATGGTGACCTGCGGCACCCGGCGCGCATCCATCACAGCCGGCGACGGGGAGATTTGAGCGGCTTTCTGAATGAGATCATCGCAAATCTGGGATGACTTCCCGGCTGTTCTGCGCTCTAAACGCGACCCCTCGGTGAGTGCAGTCCCCGACAGCCCGAAGTCCTTGGAGGTCTTTCTCCTGCACTCTTTGGGCATTGGAGACAGAGAAATCCGTCGCGGGAGCGCACGACGAGAAGCCGACTAACTTTAACCTAAAAATCTGTTCATTTCACTTTCAGAACTGCAGTTTGAGTCGAGGTGCTGAGCCGAGCCTCTGTGGTACTTCCTTGTTGTTTGTTATCCGAGTTTAAACACGTAAAAAACGCCTCTGTCAACCTCTCTCCGCTCCGTGCGCACTGTTGGAAAGGGGAACCCCTCTGGTAGCAGCGTGGCTAGCGCTTCTACGCGGTGTACACACACACACACACACACACACACACACACACACACACACACGCACACGCGCGCGCGTGCACACACACACACCCACACACTCACACACGCGCGCGCGCGCCGGCGCACTCACTCTCTCAACTGTACAAGCTTTATTATCTTCCGCATCGCCTCTCTCGCTTCCTGACTGAACATTTTAAAACCAGCTGACAGGTGAAGTTTTTAAATTCTTACAGACTTTATGTCTCGCGCTAACGTCAGTGATCAGCCTTTAAATAAAAATGAACCCATCGAATAGAAAAAGTTCACATTTTATTAGCTGCTTTGAATATGTCTGCTGATAAACATTATCTGCTTTAACCTGCTTTAAAGCTTCAATTCAAATCCTTAAACTGTAATTTAATTACATGAATTGGTGTCATTTCAAAATAAAAAACTAGGTGTAGGAAAAAAAGCATGCACACCTGGTAGTAGGACATTTCTGTTATAGGATTAAAAACTACATCATTACTACATCTTTATTAAACTCAGTGCTGGCAGTTTGCATAATTTAAAATTAAAATATTTGTACATTTAGTAGCCTAGTTATTGAAATCTGGCGGCACGAGAGGAAGTTTATAGCATTCAACTTTGAAGTTCTCTTTATTATCATGTCATTATTATCCAGGAGGTGACGCTCCTGTGCGGTTTTTCTTTTTTTTTTTTTTTTTTTGTCGCACAGCTCTTGACGAGAAAAACAGTCAGCGCTGAGAGGAAATATGGTGTGAAACTGGATGATTAATTGCGTGTTAAAACACAGTTAAAACACAGTTCCAGTCATTGTAGTGACTCAGCGACTATGGAATAAATACATTTTTAACATTATATGTATGTCAACGTTCCTTTCATGACTGATATATAAGTGGGGGCATGGTTAAAATTATTTGTTTTGACCAGATTACATCCACAGGCCTATATGGTGTCACATCTCAAGGAGTGAGCATTAAGTACAGTAGGTACTTGCTGCAGAATCCTGTATCACATCATGGGATTAAATGAGCCAAGCAGGTGTGTGGATCAGCTGAAGTCTGAGAGGGGTCAGGGTTTATTTAGAAGTGTGCACACTGAAGGTGGGCTGAGGTTTGGGATACACAGGCCAAAAGTGATGAAGGGTGAGAAGACAGAGTGACAATGATGTCCGCCTGCTACCAGGGCTTTAACCCTGTGGCCTACCTGCAGTACAACTCCACTCCACAAAGGGCCGACTTTGACAACTCTAAACAGAAAGCATCTGTCCGAACAGAGCTTTTACTTTAGGTGAGACAATAGACTTTTTTTCACAGCAGACATTCTGACATGAAATAGTAGGGTAAAAACAGTTAAAAATAATATCAATTAAGGCTCTCTTACATTCATGTCAAACAGAGTGCTGCTACTCTGCATGCTGGCTCACTGGAAAGGCTCTGATACACTAAATGGAATAGAGCCTTAATTAGTATTATGGTAACACCTGTGTTGAACCGACTGTTTCAAATGGCTGCTGTGAAAAAGGTTAAGGTGCAAACTTCTTTCCAAGAATGTTTCAAATATGTAGAAATATCTATGATCTATTTTTTGTCAGTGCAAATATTGTGTCTTAATGTCAATAGAGGGCTCTTTATCTCATTTTCTCCATTGGAATAGCACTGCATCACGTTTTCTCCACTGAAGGGCACCCTAGAGGGCACTTTATCATAGTTTATCTACCATAGGGGCATCTAAAGAATGCAATAAACTTATTTGTTTGTAATAACAAAATGTGTCAGTATGTGATTTTCTTATTAATCTCTAAATGTTCCAAAAGGCTTCATTTGTACATAAAACACACTTAGATTTTCATGTGTTTCATGCCTTTAAGAGGATGCTCAGAAAGGAAAATAATTGAAAATCATAATCCATTCTTTGTGATTAAAGAAGTTTTGAGTTGAAACATTTGCACTTTTCTGAATTAACTGCTGCCATCAATTATACATTACATTACACTTCCGTCATGCAGGTTGATACTGCTGACATGAGCAGTAGGTCACTTCGGTCATCGAAATATTTCTGTTATGTGAGTAAATTTTTCCTGAGCTGCAATCACCTGTGGATTTTGTCAGTCTCACCTCCTCCTCCTCTTCCTCTTTTCCATTTCTCCCAGGTAATGTGAGTGGTGAGCTGCTGGTGGACATCAGTTCAGGTCCCACCCTTTACCAGGTGCTGAGTGGCTGTGTTCATTTCAGAAGACTGATCTTCACAGACTTTCTGCAGGTCAACCTGCAGGAGTTGAGGTGTTGGCTCCAGGACGAGACGGTGACATTGACTGGACATCGTCTTTGCAGCGTGTCTGCAAGCTGGAGGGACACATCGATTATACAACAACTGCTCTAGCCTCGTGTGTACACAGTTGCAATCCATGATGGCGTATCCTTTCAGTCAATATGGCTATTGGGAAGTCTCGTCATCAGGAACGTTGGTGATTCATTTTAGTATTGAATCTTAAAAAAAAATCTATTTTTGTTTTAATTGTTTGGTAGTCCAAATATGTCCTACTATCTAAAAAGTTAAATCATGTCTTTAATGTCTTCACAATAAATCTCACTGTCTGTTCACTTATGTCTTCATTTCTGTAACTTCCATGTAATGTGGAAATCATATTCAGTTTCTATTTTCTTCTTTTACTTTTCAGTTCTCATATAAAATAGGAACAACCTGCACTGTCACTTACATCATTTATACATAGAAAGTAAGTACGCCTTTAGTTATTCAGGGATCCCCCAAAAACATACAGATACTTTCTGACATCAGAATGATACAAAGAGAAATGTTGTCTTTGCTTATTTTGCTGACCAAACTGCAGTGTCCTCTCAAATTTCAACTGTTCATTCATGTTTTCACCCTTCTCACCCCTCATCTTCTCTTTTCCACACTCAGCTCACATGCATGCTCACACACACAGGCCTACATATTGTACATACACAAATACAGTTCTTTCTTACTTTCTGACAATACAAATAGGATAGATGATCTCTTAGTGGAGTAAAGGTATTAAGTAGCAGAATATAGAAATACTCAAGTAAGGTACCACGAAATTGCACTGAAGTACTTGAGTAAATTAGTTACTTTCCACTACTGTTGAATAGGTAAAAATAAACGTAGCTGCATGCATCTCAGAGATATGAGGAAATAAATCAAGAACAGATTTCTATTCTCAATGGCCCCCAGATGAAAGGCAGAACAAAAACACTGATAGGAGTCATTACCAGCCTGTAAAAGCAGATATGCATTGTATTGAATGAGGTCATGTCAAGTAACAATGGATGCTGCGTTGTTCAAATGAAGCAACCTTCCATTTGTGCCATAAAGCTAATTTCTCACAGCTGATTTAATTGAAATGTCCAAAAAAAATTATAAAAAATTATCATTATTTCAGTTTTGTAGGCTACGTATATGCTGCATATTCTTACTTTATTGAATCTGAATAAACTGTAGCAGGGAGAAGAACAGGGGTCATTATGCAAACTGGTGCGCGTCTGTTACTGTCAGACCTACTGACTTACAACCCCCAGTCCACTAGGTGGCGTTAATGCGCCGAAAGAAAAAACAAAGTACTGGGAAATAGTGGCAGAGTGAGACCTCTTACCTTCTCTCTGCTAAAGAGACAGCTAGCCCGCAGTCAGACAACTTTTCTATCCGTCTCCAAGAAAACACCATGTTTGCGGTTAGGAACGCTCTCCGCCTCGTCTCCAGGTTGTCCGTCCCCGCGGTGGCGAGGAGAGGATGCGCCGGAGCGTCCATCCCGGTGGACGATGTGGTGAACGGACTGACCGACGACCAGATACAGGTTAGCCAACCAGATACTGGCTAGCTAACAGGCGACACAAAGTTCACTCATCTGTGCAGATAAGCAAGAAAAACAAACAAACAAACAAACTAAAATAAGTAGCCATAGAGTCACGTAAACAAAGCTGAAGTTCTGTTTAATTTAATAAGTTTAACAGACAAAACAAAAAGGTTATTTAAGGGTAATGTGCACGTGACGTTGTGACATAATGTTAGCTGAAGAAGACCTTGGTATGAGCCGACCTAGCTAACCACACAGCAAACAGTAACATCATAGTCAAAACAATAGTCTAAATTAATTTTGTTTACACTGTCTTAACTACTAGAGCAAGTGGCACTAATACGTTTCTAGGGGAAGCTTTATGAGCTCAACCAGCTTTATTTATTTACCCCTGCCAGCCCTGATAGTTATAATGTTACAAGCTGTGTTGTTGGCTATAGAAAGGTGGTGAGGGTGGAAAAGCTCACTCCAATCAAGATTTAGCCATTTAACCCAAGGTGACATCGGGTCAGCGGTGCCGAATGGACTGGACGCTGGCTGGGAGGAGGGCTGGGAGGAGGGCTGGGAGGAGGGCTGGGGGCGTGGTTCATATCAAGGATTTGATTTGGTGAAAGTGGCTCTCCTCCTGTACTGGCCAATATGAGGTTGAATAGACCTGTAATGTAAGTTAACAGTTAACAGATTCATGCACGGTTGTTAAATATCTTTATAATCTAATCTGTACACTGGTCTATATTTGATTTTAGATATAACTGTATGAGCAGTTATATCTATAGTCTGCTGCCAAATGAAGGAGGAAATGGACACTAATGCCAGACTGTTGATTTTCAGTGCTTTTATTGTAATAATGATGCTGAATCAGTTATTTTAAAGTCTGTTGCTTGTATTGTGTCTTTTGCACAGCTCAGGCAGACGGTTCGTAAATTTTGTGCAGACAAGCTTGCACCTTACGCTGATGAGATCGACAAGAATAATGAATTTCCAGGACTTCGGGTGAGTTCAAACACTATGTTTTGCACATACTTGTAGTGAACTGCATTTTATGAACGTGATCCACTCCTTCTGCTGGGCTGCAATCTCATATCTCCACATGTTTACCATCAAAGAAGAGCAGGATTTCTGTTTCGATAGCTTTTTATATTGTCTCTCCACCAGGATTTCTGGAAAGACGTGGGGGAGATGGGACTCCTTGGGATCACTGCTCCAGGTAAGACACCTGGAGGAAAAAACAGTCACTGTATGCATCAAAGTAGTTCTATAGGAAACTGGTTAAAATGCATAGCAATTTTTGTAAACTCCTGTAGGGAATTTCTTCATGTTTATTTGTTTTATCCCAGCATGGATTGAAGGCTTAAAAAACAACAACTCTATATCTCTTTCAGTGGAATATGGGGGCACAGGATTGGGCTACCTCGACCATGTCATTGTGATGGAGGAGATGTCGCGAGTGTCGGCAGCCATCGCTCTCAGTTACGGCGCCCACTCTAACCTCTGTGTCAACCAGATGGTACGCCATGCCAACGAGAAACAGAAGGAGAAGTACATGCCAAAGGTCAGGACCAAAACATAAAGGTCATGCTTTATGGTATAAACATTACATAAAACCATGAACTAAAATGGATTCTATTCTTCATTCTCATCATGGTCTTTCTTGTTGCCAGTTAATGACAGGAGAGCATGTAGGAGCCCTGGCCATGAGTGAGCCCAATGCTGGCTCTGATGTTGTAGCCATGAAACTCAAAGCCAAGAAGAAAGGTAGGTTGTGATTTATACCTCTTCATCAGTGCTAAATGCTAAAACTATTCTATATTGTGCTTTTTCTATATTGCTTGATCTGCTCTGGTAGCTCTGCTGTTGATCAATACGATCAATTAGTCATTTCTTGGGGATTTTACTGACTCAGGTTTTGACAAAAACACTGTCGGCCTTTTCACGCTGAATATCACATTCGCAAGTAACCCTGACTCAGCAAGGTGGCATGTGTGTGCTGGGTGGACAGACTGTTGGTGTGAGCAGTGGATATATGTAAAGAGTTCGGGTGTAACGATACACAAAATTCACAGTTCAGTATGTACCTCGGTTTTTCGGGTCACTGTTCAGTATATTTTTGGTCTGGGGCTCAAGCACTTGGACCATATGCTTAAATTCTGTATTCTCTAGACTGAGTATGTTCACACATTCCACAGCATCTCCAATCCTTAATCATTGTTTTGACACAGTGGGAGGACTTGCCTTCCAGTCTGTTTTTGTCTTGTTCTGCTAATTGACACATTCAGTGATGCCGTCATAACTAAGTCCATAATCTTTTAATTTCAGATATTTATTGTAATTTTTATCTGTGAAGTTTATTTTTGAAGCCATATTTTCTCACCTAATAAACGATCATAAAGATTGCTCTCTGGATACAGTGAAACTAGGATCTGAAATCTCATCTGTACAAATCCACATTTTTGGAACTGCACCTGGGAGCATAGATAAGTACCAGGTTTGGCTCATTCTGCTTAGAAGAGATCAGCAGTTTGTATTTTCTCCTAAAACTCAGAGTCGGTGATTCCCACATACTGCTGCACTGGGTGGAGAGAGAGGGTTGAAACCAGAAAAAGAACAAAAATGGCTTAAAGCACAGAAATGGCCCAATGCCAAAAAAAAATGAATGAATACAAATAAACAAACAGGAAAAGTGTGACCATTTTTGTCCACTGCACTGGCTATAACCCATATTTTACACTTATGTATCAAATAAAGTGAAGACAATGTGAAAGGAGTCGTTTGTAGTGATGAACCTACTGAGAATTATCACCTGTATCTGCATTTCACCTCGGCTTTATGATGCTTTTATAGTGAGTTTCAGCTCATTGTTAATCTGTCCGTCCATAAATGTACTGTTTTGGTTCAACCACACATGGCAAAGTTTTCAGCAAAACAGCTCTATAAATCCACTATACACTATCTGCTCTACGCCAAACAGCAAACAGACAGTTAGCGACTAGCTGGTGAGTATATTAGAGAATTTAGCAGCTAAAGAGCCAGATGTGTCCCCCTTAAGAGACCAAAACCAGAGCAAAAATAAAGTGAATATTGGATTTGGGTTCATCAGGTCAGAAATAAAACTCAAAATAAATGCTAATGTAGTGATGTGTCAATGCTGTGTTACAAAAACCTCTTTACGCTGCCCCCAAGTGGTCAAAAAGTCAGTTACTGCAAAAAGATATGAAGAGAGAAATCACACAAACTGTACTGGTAGGCCACTGTACACAAAAACATTATCAGTTCCCTGTATGGTCCTAAAATAACTGACAGTATCTAAGCAGAAAATATAATACCACCTGTAGAAGGTACACATGTTCACAGAAATGGGATATAAGCTGCTGTGTGCTTTTACAGATAAACCACTGAGTTCAGTCAGCTCAGGGGTGTGATCGATTGGTGGCTACACCTTGCTTCATGCCTTTTTAAGTATGGATTTTGAAACTATTGTTGGTTACAAGGCTAACTATAGAGTAGTAGAGTGGGTTTGGTTCGTACTGGTTTAACCAGAGAGACTGAGATGTTTTTAGGATGAGAGAATTTATTGTTGAGCTGTCTGAAAATATGGTGGTTTGTAATGTGTATGAGAAGGTAGCTTTTAGGTAGCCACACTCAGGTCTGCACTCACACCCTGTCTCGTTGAACCTATGAATAACCATGTGTGCTCATTCAAGATTTAAACATGCATCCAGATAAATGTTTTTAAAATCTTCATTCTGCTGCCTAGCTCTGCTTTAGATCCACTTCATTTCTAGTATATTTTTCTACAGGTGACTACTATATTCTGAATGGCAACAAGTTCTGGATAACAAATGGACCAGATGCCGACGTCCTTATTGTTTATGCAAAGACAGATCCTGAGGCCCATCAAAGAGGCATCACAGCTTTCATTGTTGAAAAGGTAAATTCAGTCTCCTCCTTGGGATGTGGTGGGTTTACATGTTTTTTGGTCTGTTCTGGGGATCAGCCTTGCATTTTGTTGAATGAATGCAAACCAAAATTATGTGAAAGGAACAAGAATCTGCGATTAAAAGAAATGGCCTTTCTTGTGCATGTATGTTTGTGTGTTTTGTAGGGAATGCCAGGTTTCTCTACAGCACAGAAGCTTGACAAACTCGGCATGAGGGGATCAAACACCTGCGAGCTGATTTTTGAAGACTGCAAAATTCCAGGTGTGTGTTAAGTGCACAATATGGTTGTGCGATGAATACATATATGGCATTTTATTTTGTCCTACCTCTGAAGAATGAGAGCTGCTGCTCAGCAGCGTAGCACGCACTGAGCCCAAGAACGAGTGAGAGGAGAAACGGCTTTTTAGCCACTGTCACATCTAACAGCAGTGAATTAAGGGTTTATTTTGACTAGTTTAACAACAGGGAATACAATAACGTGATTCACAGAGGCTCCAAATAAGAAATCGAATCAAGTGTGTTTTTAAGATTTCTTTACAAGGTCTTACTTCAGTAAGTAATAGGTGTTCTTTTTTCTTCCTTTCTTGTCATTTGGTGACTTTATTTTGTTTATTAAAGCTATGAGAGCTTGTTGCACTTGATTGGGGGGAGGCGCAGGCACTAACGCAGCACACACACGCTGGCGGTGGCCGGTTGGAAAATTTTAACATATTGCCCAACCCTAGTACACACTGCCATATATTCACTGTGTGTTGTGTGATCTCTTTTATTAGGCCCTGTATGCCTTCAGTTTAATTGAGTTAAATGTTTTTGTTTATTGTAGAGGAGAACATCCTTGGCCCGTTGAATAAAGGTGTTTATGTGATGATGAGTGGCTTAGATCTGGAGAGGCTGGTACTGTCAGCAGGACCTATTGGGTAAGTTCATACTGGAAAATTAAAACTGTTTTAGAAAATGAGTAGATAAGTACATATTTCAATATGAAAATAATACATAAAATGTTTTATGATGGGGCATATTTGTACACATTGAACAACTGCTTTGCATAGTGTTGTTGTCCACATACTCACTTATATTAATTTCCTTAAGTAACTGCTTATAAATCTGACCTTTTGATTTTGAATGTTGTACCTCAAAACTGCCTGGGGCCAAAACAACTAGTGACACGTTTACTTGGCAAAGCCGTGTTTAAATTGTATTGAGCCTATTAATATTAATATTATTATTATTATTATTATTATTATTATTATTATTATTACTGAAATGCTTATTATTGTTCAGTGAGAAAATAAAATGTTTTGATATTTGCAACAGAAGAGACATCAACATGAATGACTTTTTTGTATTGTGGTGTTTGTCGATGAATAATCCTATGAAACAAGACCTTTTTGTTTTCAACATCTTTCTTACTATTCAGCATCATGCAGGCTGTGTTGGACTTTGCCGTTCCCTACCTACACGTCAGAGAAGCGTTCGGACAGAAAATCGGACAATTTCAGGTTTGATCTGCAGTCTTTACTTTATATAGTTTTGAAAGCCCAGTAAAATGTCATACTTCTAGAGTAATTTGACTTGATGTGAAATTAACATTTTATGTTCATTTGTTTGCAGCTG